GGCTTGCATTCTCATTTTATTCAGATCTCTGCTCACCTCCAAAAAGATACTCTCTCTGACTAGAACTCATCATCCTTCTCTGCCACTGCCTTGCATAATGTATCACCATTATTACATTTCTGTACATATTTAACTGCTTACATGTTAATTACATGCCCTTCTTCTCTGTAATGTGAGCTCCTTGAGGGAAAGGGCCATGTTTTACTCTTCAGTGCTGCAGCTCCAGCACCTAGCAGAGAACCTCCCAAGTTGTAGATGCTCAGTAAATACTTAACAAATGAATGAATAACCTCTGTAGTTTCTCAAAATCCATTATTCCCTGTTTCCCTTCCTTTTCTATCCAGCCTTGGCTGCATGGAGTATCACTGCAGTCACTCGCCAGCACTTTCAACTTCCTCACTCACTTCAATCCAACTCCTCTACTTCTCTCTGAAAAAAATTTCCACAGATGTCAATGGATTGCTGACATTTATGATCTTATACTCTTGAATTCTGCTGGTCCTTCAACCTATGCCTGCAATCTTTATCTGTGTCCCTAATCAGTTCTATCTTCTATTCCCTATAAAATATATTTTAAATCTTGACCATTCACTTTAACTTCTTCATGGGGGAATGTGAAAACTATTGTATGAGATTTGTCTTAACTTACTGTGTACCTTTCATCCCACCAAAGCACAGATAGTATTTGAGTATCATCCACTCTTTCCTTAGCTGTGATGTGGCCCCAGGTAATTCCCCACTTTTGCTCTGGATATCTCCCACTGTCTCAGAAAACTGTTCCAAGTGATTACTTTTCTTCCACCTGCATTTTCTCCCCTTTTTATTGGCTTATTGACCTCCTCCTAATCTTGCATGCTCCTTTTCTCTTTTGAATTCCCTTGACATTATCTGACTCTCTGCATGCTTCTTGTGCTTTCTCCCTTACATTTTAGTTCTGTTTTATTTTAATTAATCTTCCTCATATAACAGCCTAAAATTTACCAGCTTAACCATTTTACATGTATATTTCAGTAGTGTTAAGTATATTCACAATGTTGTCTAACAAATTTCCCGAACTCTTCATTTTGCAAAACAGAAACTCTGTACCCATTAAACAACCATAAATCTCCAAGCTCCCTTCCACTGGGAATCACCATTCTACTTTCTATCTCTATGAATCTGACTACTCTTGTGTACTCTCATGTAGATGGAATAATACAGTATTTGTCTTTTTGTGACTGGCTTATTTTATTTAGCATAGTGTCCTCAAGGTTTATTTATATTGAAGTATGTGTTAGTATTTCCTTTCTTTTTAAGGATGAATACTATTCCATTGCATCTTTATACCATGTTTTATTTATTCTTTTATGTACCATGGCTTTCTTCTACATTTTGGCTATTGGGAATTATGCTACTATGAATATGTAAGTGCAAATATCTCTTTGAGACCTTACTTTCAATTTGAGGAGATATATACCCAGAAGTAGAATTGATGAGTCATATTTCAATTCTATTTTTAAATTTTTGTGGAACCAACATACAATTTTCCATAGAAGCTATACCATTTTACATTCCTAAAATTGTACAAGGTTTCCAATTTCTCTACATCCTTGCCAATACTTGTTATTTTCTGGTTTTGTTGTTGTTGTTGATAGTAGGTGTCCTAACGGGTGTGAGGTGGGTTTTTATTTGTCTTTCCCTATGCCTAGTGCACTGTGTTGAACATCTTTTCATGTGGTTGCTGGCCATTTGTATTTCTTCTTTGGACGAATGTCTATTCAAGTACTTTTCTCATTGAAAAATGTGGTGTTCGTTTTTTTGTCATTGCTCTGATTTGTATTTGAGTTCAAGTTACCACAGTTTGCCCCACTTCTGAAAACTGGGCTTTAGGAATGATGGATGATTGTTAGGAAGTTGACATAGAGGCACTGAATCATATATGCATATGTTCTATAACCCTAGCTGGGTGTCACGTACATTCAGGGCTAGAACTAATCCTCTAAATGGTACTTCTGAAAACAATAGATAGGAGTGCCATTTGAGGAAAACTCAAGTTGGACATGCATCAGTTCATAAAAGTTTTCATTGTCTCATCCCAAAACCCAGATGAGGTAGCTTTCTAGAAGGAAAGGCATTCTTGTCCTAGGGTCAGACTGCTTGAGGGAACTTGGAGAAGTCAGTTTCAGTTTTGTCGTATATGAATTATGGAACTATAGAGATACACTCTCTGTAGAGTATAGTACATCAAGAATCTTGAGTGGAGGGGGTGTCATTTTTTTCATTCAGTAACCATCTATTGCATGCCTAAGAACCAGGCACTTGGCTAGGGAGGTAGGAATAGAATTGCAACTTGGTCAAAGGTAAGCCAGTCTAGTTTGTATTTATCAAATTCCAGAGCATAGTGAAGTATTAGAAAACTAGATGCAGAAATATTAACCAATAATCTCTGATTCCGGCTCCTGCATTAGTGACACCACAACTTTTGCTTTGATTTTCTTCTTTGATGATTTAAGTAAAAATTATGTGGGTTTATTAAAATGTGCCATGTTGGAAAGGGCAAGGGAAATTAAAATATATTTTCCTTTATTACTTAAAAATATGCAGTTGAATCAAATGCTGCTTCACCCCACCTGTAGAATACAAAGTATATATGAAGCTAAAGAAAGTGTTTGCTGTTCAGAATGATTGTTTTTGGAGACTTTGTCTTAACCAGCTTATAAGATGACTAAATAAAATAATGTGTGAAAGCTTCCAGCAAAGTCAGGGTAATAGGTTGTTTTTTTTCTTTTGTGTGTGCGTGTGTGTGTGTGTGTGTGTGTGTGTGTGTGTGTGTGTGTGTGTTTACCCTTGAGAAAAAGAGATTGCTAACTGAATTAATAAGTAAGCAGTCAAATAGTAAAGTGTTCTTTTATCTAACAGCTAGGGCATTTAGCAGCAGGCCTCTATTCACACAATAAATTTGCTAATTATAAATGAGTCCCATGTAGTATTTAAAGCATTTATAAGACCTTTAGAAGCCTTAAAGTTCCTCCCCACTTCTACTTGTAGCAAAGTGACTGTAATCCTCAAAGAGAAAGACCAGTATTGCTTTGTAAACGTCCTATTAGTCAGATTATTCATTTACTTAAACCAACACCCTCTCCCTGATTGAAAACCCTAAAGCTAGCACCAGCAAGCACAACAGGAGGACATGACATCCAATGCTTTTGCTGTGCACACTGTGATTCAGCTACAGCAGACTCCTTGTCACCCTTCAAACAAACAGTCCCTTTGGCCTGTGAACTGGCCTGCTGCATCGCTATATGATGAGCTCCTGCTCTTTTTTTTGCAACCAAGTTTATAAACGTAATTGCTTTCTCTGAGCCACCATTTCCAACATTTGTAGGTACCTTGCCCCTCTCTCTACTGAATTTCTATCATACTCTGCTCATATCTATTAGAGGTCTGATCACATTATATGGTGATAATGTGATCAGAAGGCTATCTCTCCCACTGGACTGTGAACTCCTGGAAAACAGGGACTAAAACTGACTCATATTTTAACTTTCCCACCTATCCATAAATACCTAGCATAATTTTTGGCCCAGTAAATATTTGGCAGAAGTTATTAGGATCAGGAAGGTAAATGGCAGTGTGGTCTAAAGGGAAAAAGGAATCAAAATGATGGGGACTCTTATGTAAAGAAGAAAAGAGAAGAGATTGGGAGAATGGGGTCAATAAGGGATGGAGGAAGTAGAGAAACCTAGGAAGGAAAACACATAGGAAGTAGAGGAGTGAAGAGGTTGCAAAGTAACACCGAGAAAGGGAACAATGTAAGGTGTGTGAAATTAGGGCAATAAAATGCCCTACTCTTGGGCATTTCTGAAGCTCATCTAGCCCCAATTGTCCCTAGAAACAAAGAGGGATGGAAGGAAGAAAAAGCCAGAGTGGGGAGTGAGGCTGAAAACACTACAGACTATGAACTTGGCCACTGACTTTGGGCTAAGTCTGGGACTGGCCTGCTCCCTTGGCCTCCCATTCTTCAGCCTCTCTCTTCCAACCCAGGCCTGACCTTTGTCTCTTCTCTTTTCTACACAGAGGGTCCATATATACCCAAATTATATATGTGAGAATAAATTGGCACATGTGTGCATACTTGTTTCCCATTGAATACTTTTAATCTGGAAAAAAATCCAAAGAAGAGTGTTATAGCAAGCCCCTAGCTGTCCCTGCCTTTTCTGTGTCAGAGGGGAGCATTTGCATAGCTTCCTGGGAGGCTGTGGCTCTGGCCTGCAGCCTTGCAAGAGTGGAAAACTCTGGTGTGCCCCCTAGTTTGCTGAACACATTTACAATGTATGAAGATTGAGATACTGTTGTAATGATAGATGTAAACATACCATAGTATTTATTGTGTCATTAAGGCAAAGTTACTTTCAGACTCACCGAGCTCTCTTCCCCACAGGAGATGTGCCACTTGATAACTGAAGCCTTTTGGAGTTATTTCTTAGGTAACTAAAAAGTGTCTTGTGCCTATAGAAAGCAGCATGGAGGAGCCCTGGATAAAAGTCAGGAGCCCAAGTGGCTATTGTGGGCTCTGCCACTCAGTCTGAGGCTTTTTCTCATCTGTCAAATAGGAGTAATCTCACCCACCTACCTCATTAGGGTTACCATAAGGATAAAATCAGATGATTATATAGGACCCTACATGTGACCAACATTTTACAGTTGTCAAGTGATTTCTACCACCATTCTGTCATCTGATTCTCTCAACAACCCTGCCAAATATTTTGATAATCATTTTACAGATGAAGAAACTAAAGCTCAAAGAGGAGGAGTTACTTGGCCATAGCCACATAGCTAGTAAACCAGGATGATACAAGTTTTTAGACACACACATGTCTACTCAGTGTTATTGGCTTTAGGCCCCCTGTGTCTTAACTTCTCTCGGGGTTCCTCCTTTCTACAGCTTCTGAAGGTGCTCAATGTAAATAACTAATTAGATTTTTTGTTCCCCCTTTTCCCCTACATTTTCTGGCCCCTAGAAGAAAACACCAGCAGCTCCGACAAAGAAAACAGGCACCACCTTCAACATCGTGGGGACCACCTATCCCATCAATCTGGCTAAGGACACTGAGTTCTCCACCATCTCCCAGGGTGCTGCTCCCAGTGCCCCCTCAACACCAACTACCATTGCTTCACCGAAGACCACCTACGTGCCGGACATCCCAACTGAAACCAAGACCTACAATAGTGTCAGCAAGGTTGACAAAATTTCCCGCATCGTCTTTCCTGTGCTCTTTGCCATTTTCAATCTGGTCTATTGGGCCACATATGTCAACCGGGAGTCAGCTATTAAGGGCATGATTCGCAAACAGTAGATAGTGGCAGCACAGCAACCAGAGTACAGTATACCCTAGGAAGCATCCAAGCACCTAAACCCTGGGGCTCCCCTTCATGTGTTTCAGGATTCTTCTTGTTAACCCTCTATCAAGCTATTACTCTCAATTCATATTTATGAACCTCAATGAAGAAAAAAAAACAACAGAAAAATTACTTGTTTCTCTAACATTGCTGAGTGTACCCTCATCAGAGCCAAACACTGCCATTTGTCCAGTTGCTCATCTTAGTCTGCCAGTCTTCCCCAGTTGAGGTAACTGCATATATTTTATTGCACTCTGCCCAGTGCAAAAAGTACAGGAGGGTCTATTACTTGTAGTGGGAGCCTTGGCTGTTTGAGAGGTCCAAACCAAGGAGGATTGTTAACTGGCCCAGATCAGATAATTAATAGCAAAGGCAGGTGCTAGTGCTATCCTCTAAACATGGCCCTCAGCCCCTTTATTGGCTTGGAGGTTAATGGGAACAGTTGAGACTCACCACTGTTTATCATGTATGGTCAAAACTGATAGAATAAACTGGGCCAGCCTGACACCAAGGTTACTGGTTCCCTGACATGTCCAGCTCCTCAGAAAAATAGTAACATTTTTGGTACATATCTCCTCCAGCAAAAGCCCTCTTCTCTCAAGCCCTCAACCCTTGTAGCCAGCTGACCACTGCTTAGTTTAGATTCATTGCCACCTGCAAACTCTTTAAGAAAAGGATCAAATATTTTTTAAATTTACACTAAAAAGGTATGAATAGAAACAAAAAAGATCTATATCAAATGCCTACACAATAATTTTAAAAGGATTAGAGTGATAGAAAAGTCACTTCCCTGCTAAGGTACCTAGTCAAGTACTGGATAGGACAACAGATATGAGCTGGGTGGTAGTTAAGGCTTAAATTCTTGCTCAAAAAGACAGGGATACTGGCAGACAAAAATCAAATTCTTCCTACCACACTCTCCACATTTCATACCTTAGTCCAGGCCCAATGTCTTTGCTCCCATGTGTCAGGGAATTCTGGTCCTCTGTTAATGCTGATTCTAAGGAGCAGTGAATCAGACTCTAGTTGATTTTTGAGTCAACTAAATAATTAACTTTATTACCAGTTTAATAATATATTACTTAGGTGCCATCTGATATAATTTGTTCTTAATGTGAGTAAAAGAGACAGTTATAATATTTTTACAAGGTAGATAAACTAAGTCTTTGATGTTGGAGTGACTTGCCTAGGCTCTTTACAAGTGTCTGTAATAAAGAATCATCATATTTCTCTTTCCAAAGGCCAAAATGAAGATAGAATTGAGAACGGAAGTCCATTTTAATCTCAGGATCAGCACAATATCAATAGGCTTGGTGGGCCCTGAATGCAGGTTGCTTGGACACAAAATGATTTTTAGAAAGTCACAATATGTTATCCAAGGAGACCAATTCTAATGGTAATGGCTCAAGGGAATGAGATTAAGGTGACAGCCTTAGCCATTCATCCAGAATATCCTAGAAGCCCAAAGTAAAGCCACAGATGGTACCAAAAAACAAATTCTTCCTGTCTACCCCTGAACAAAGCTCCTAGGGCTCTATCATTAGCTGCTGGTTGAATTTTCATCCATCCTTTCCCTATACACCTTGCTTCTTTGCCATTGCCGGAATAATGCATGCCAGTCCCATTATTCCTAAGACTGTGTCTGTAGATAAATTTATGACTAGAAGAGTGTAGTGTTGTGGATATGTGGGGATGGGGGGTGGGAGTGGGGTTGTTAATGATCATCTTATGGAATTAGAATGGAAGCCTGACATTTGCCTCTGTAGAAATTGTGTTTCCAAATGCTTTGATGCAATGTTTAGTGGCTGTTTATTAAACTCTTTCTGAATTGTACTTGGGCTGAAGAACTTTTTTAAATCACTCTTTGCCTAACATAGGTAGTACTCTGCTCTTGGTTTTCACCCCAACTCTCATGCCACCCTTATTTTCCACTTTTTCGCACCACTGGACTATGCTAGAAAAAAAAAAATGCTTTCCCAGAGCAAGACACCTATTATAGTGGTCCAAAATGTTACCCAGGTGAAAACATAGCTTGATTAACTCAGGGGTCTTATTATCTAATATGACAGAGAGTAAAACACCTGTATTGCTTCCTCAGCAAAACTCACCCACTCCCAGAAAATAGATAAAGTCATTTTTATGGCAATTCTAAATGCTTTCTTTTTCTTGATTATTTCCTTTAGGAAATAGTTCCCTTAGGCAGAGAGAGTGTCTGGTTAGTTGATCCATGTGTTGGGAAATGTATATGACCCTTATTTATTACAGATTTGGGAAAAATCTGGTGAATAATCTCATGAGATCTGCCTGAGGAAATCGCCTGAATCCTAAGGGATGGGGAAAGTCTCCTTGGCAGAGCATTTCAAATCCTATAAAAGGATTTCTTGTCCGAAATAACATCAGGGACTTGGACAACCTGACCCTTGATGCATGTTTCAGCTCTATGGTCAACTTATGGATGTCCTACTACTGCAGGCATTCCACAGTCCCTGTCCAGTTCCACTGTACCCCCAGAACAACCATGTGAGGCCCACATGGATGCCTCCATAGCAAACTTTCCTGATACCAAAAGTATACTCAGCCATGCAGAAGAATCAGTGACCTGGAAGATAGGACATTTGAGATTATCCAGTCAGAGGAACAAAAAGAAAAAAAATGAATGAAAAAAAAAGTGTAGGAAGCCTATGGGACTTATGGAACATAATAAAAAGAATAGCATGAGAATTCCAAAAGAGAAGAAATAGAAATGAACAGGAAGTATACCCAGGATAGGACAAAAGTAAGTATACAGTTGTAGTATGCAAAACTCACAAGACTTGATTCTTGTATCATTATTTATTTCTTACTAGAGGCCCAGTGCATGAAATTCATTCATTGGGTGGGGGGTGTCCTTCAGCCTAGCCTGCACCCTCTCTAATCTCAGACCCTTCGGGGGATGTCCGACTGTGGGATTGGGCCTAAACTGGCAGTCGGACATCCCTCTCACAATCCGCTGGCTCCTAATAGCTCACCTGCCTGCCTGCCTGATTGCCCCTTACCACTTCTGCCTGCCAGCCTGATCTCCCCCTAACCACTCCCCTGCCGGCCTGATTGATGCCTAACTGCTCCCCTGGCAGTCTGCTGGCCCCCAACTGCCCTCCCCTGCTGGCCTGATCACCCCCAAGGCTTTTATTATTATAGATATGACCCTTCACAGAAAATTTCACTAACCCTGCTTTACAATAAGGGCTTGACAATTGAATCATTGGGGCCAGACAACAAGATTTCCTTTCTTTGAATAGTGGAGGGAATAATTATCTTGTCTTTAAGTTGCCCTGAACATCAAATGAGATAATGACTTTGAAAAGTATAAAAGCACCATATAAAGACAACTGTCTTTTTCATGTACTGAAAAGACAATAAAGTGGTAAAATGAAAAACACTATTTCTATTCTCCCCCTTCCTACCTTTACAGCCTTTATTTAAACTTGGAAATTTATAAAAATTTCACTCCTATTTTCATTTCTTTACATTCAATATTATTTTGTATTAGTTTCAGGTTTTATATTAATTACAGAATAGTGGTTAGACAATCACGTAATTTACAAAGTGTTCCCCGATAGTTCCAGTACCCACCTGGCATCATACTGTCATTACAACGCTGTTGACTATATTCCCTATTTGAGTGACAATAGATTTGGTTCTCAACCTGTGGGTTGCGACTTTGGGGGTCGAACGACCCTTTCACAAGGGTCGCCTAAGACCATCCTGCATATCAGATATTTACATTATGATTCATAACAGTAGCAAAATTAGTTATGAAGTAGCAACGAAAATAATTTTATGGTTGGGGGTCACAACATGAGGAACTGTATTTAAAGGACCAGAAGGTTGAAAACCACTGGTATAGGTTCCTTCCAATCTTTCTTTTGTGTTGCTTGCCCTTCCTTTTCTTTCTCACGTCTTCACTCCTTTTCTTTATATAGTATTTCAATTGGCCCTCAAAGCTCAGTGAAGGCACTGGGACACGCTTAATCCATTTTACAGACCAGGAAACTGAGGCCAATTCCAGTTGGCTGTGGAACTGGACTCAGTGCGCAGGGAGCCCTCACAACTGTGCTTTCCACCTTTCCTAAGGGACAGCCATGGGGCAAACAAAAGAAACCTCCCTGTGAGGCTTCTGAGACTCATTCTAAAGCACCTCTTCATCGTGGATGCTCCGCATTCTTTCTTCTCCCCCACCCCCATTCTTTACTACCCCCCTCTTCTGGGGAGCAGGTGGTAGGCTTCACACTGACCACGCAGGCGCACACTGCCCTGGGGTGGGGCTGAGTGGGAACTGGGGCGGGGTGGGTGTGGGCTTGCTTTTGGGCCAAGGCAGGAGCAGGAGTCATGGCCCCTCAAGTGTGCAGGCTGTGGCAAGGCCCAGATAGCGCCAGGAGCTTTGCTGAACCGCCGCAGTGGGGTACCCGGCAGTGCAGCGCCCCTCCACTGGGGTGGCAGCGCCCCTCAACCCGCCCCCTCAGGGCTGCAGGTCCGCGCTCCTCCACCCAGGCATCCTTACACACCCGCAGTCATCACCTCTTGTTTCCTGCCTGGCCGACCCGCGTCTTGGGGCCACTGCAGAACCTCGCTCTCGGCAGGTGAGGCAGATCCCTGTTCTCTGGCCCCCTGCCCCAGTCCGAGCCCCTTCGGGTGCACTCTGCCTCTGCACTGCTCTAGCCCCTTGAGCCGCTGGCCTCCTGGCTGGCCACTTTGCTGAAGCTTCCTCTTCCTTCAGGTGCTCTCCTCAGACCCCCGGGAGCTTGGGTCCAGCCTCCCGCCCCTCTGTGGCTCCCTGCAGGCCCAGCACCACTTGGCTCTCCCTGGCTGCCTGCCTGTCAGGACGCTGCTGGGGCACCCTGCTGCAGGCAGCACAGTCCTGGGGGTGGGGGTGGGGGGAGCAGCTCCAGTAAAGTTTAAAAAACCCCAGGTCAGTGTTGGGATTCAGCTGTGGGCCCCATGGGGCTTCTGCCTGCGTAGGACAACATCGCTCACCATGCAGAGTCCAGCACCAAGGCCCCACAGCCCCACCCACCTTGTTAACCAGTCGTGATGTGACTCCATATTGGATAATTAGCATATTTCTCTGATATGTGTATATATATATATATATATATATATATATATATATATATATATATATTTTCCATATGAAGAACTATAAACCTACTTTTGTCCCACCATGTATAAAGCAATAATGGCTGAAAACTTCCCAAACCTGGGGAAACAGACATCCAGATACAAAAGGCCCAAATAGGTTGAACTTAAATAGGGCTACACTGAGAAAAATTATACTTAATTTGTCCAAAGTCAAAGACAGAATTTTTAAAGTATATTTTTATTGATTTCAGAGAGGAAGGAAAGAGGGAAAGAGAGATAGAAACATCAATGATGAGGGAGAATCATTGATCAGCTACTTCCTGCATACCTACCACTGTAGATCAAGCCTAAAACCCAGGCATGTATGCTGACCGGGAATCGAACTGTGACCTCCTGGTTCATAGGTTGGTGCTCAACCACTGAGCAACACTGACTGGACAAAAGACAATTTTAGAAGCAGCAAGAGAAAAGTTGCATACAAGGGAACTGCTATAAAAATACAGGCAGATTTCTCAACAGAAACTTTTCAGGCTAGAAAAAAAGGGGGATAACATATTCAAATATCAAAAGAAAAAACTGTCAACCAAAATAACTATACCTGCTTAAGCTTGCTCTTCCAATAAAAAGGAGAGATAAGCCTTCCCCTCCCTGCGCGGGGGGGGGGGGGGAAAGCCCACAAAAGCTGAGGGAATTCATCACCACTAGATCTGATCTACAAGAAATGCTACAGGGAGTTTTTAGAGTGGTGATAAAAAAGATGCTAATTAATGCCATAAAAACATAAGAAGGCAGTGCAAAACTCACTGTTAGTGGTAAATATATGGCCAAAGTTAGAATCTGTAATATAGTAATGGTGGGGCATAATTCACTTACAACTCTAGTTTAAAAGTGAAAAAACAAAAGTAGCAAAGATAATTGTAACTACAATAATTGGTTATTAGTTACAC